GCTTTAAATATTTTTCAAAGGTGAGTATCATATAAATACAAAGAATGTTGGAAATTAAAAGAAGAACTACGAAGGTTTCTGGATTATAACTTGTTTAGAAAGCACACGTGCACATAATTAGTAGTCTAAGAGTACAGTAAATCGATGAAAAAGTTGGATAATTATTTCGTTATGAATATAGCTGTGTATATCACCAACTAATAATTAAAAAAAAAAAAAAAACATCTCTTAAACCGTATGAATCCTCGATGAAAGAGGAGTCAATACGTAGGTAATTATAAGTGTAAAAATACCTTCTATGAAAGAATATTGTGCAAGAAGGTGGAGCAATTATCGTGGGAATGAGTATATATACCTCCGTTGATTGAAAAAAAAATAAATTCAAAGAAAAACAAATACAAACAAGTACTAAGAAATAAAATTATACAAAAACAAAAAAAAACAATAAAAGTCAATCTTTGTTAATAGTATTTAATAATCACAAAAAATTACTGTACAAATTTAGACAAAAATTAATAAATTTATTTAAATTTATTTAAATTATTTTTCATTTCTTTAATTCTTTTTTTTTTTCATTGAATAATAATAACGTTTTATTTTTAATTTTTCATCATAATTTGAACAGATTTTTTAAGCCGTATGTGTAACAAAAATGTTATTAGAATTTATTTCAAATAGTGTAATGATCGCCATACACTTCTATATAATATAAATAAAGAATTACTAAGTAATTAAGCATCAGGAATGAACAAAGATAAAAAGGAGTCTATTGTTGTATAATTTTCCTTATTTATTGACATAAATTATATTCACACATGCTTAAACATTACAAGAAAATACTTTCTTCCCTCACTTTGTACTTAATGCAGGTTACTTTTCGTATTGTACCAAATAAACATGTACGCTTATGACATGTCAATTACAGCAAATAGTTTAAACTAAATTGTTTCAAATATTCCATGCATTTATTACCAAAGTACAAGCTTTGTCTTTTTTTTCATATTTGACTTGTGTCATCTGATAACAAACTATTATAGATAAAACGAACATAAAAAAAATAATAATCACAACATGAGAAACTCCTGCTTTTCTTGTTCTTCATTTGAATCAAGTTCAGGGAATTGCTCAGTTCTTATTACCCATTTTTTTGCTCCATGAATCGCTCATCACACATAATCATTCATGCTTCTTAACTCATTGCTGTATAGAGGTTCCCTGTACTCAGAATGATCTAAGTAGTAAATAAAATGCGCTTTTATGGCTCGTCTTTTTTTGGGTGTCAGCTCTTTTATATCACGAGTTTTCCTTGTTTTTTTTATGTACCTATTAGATAGATCCTTGTATCTCCAAGAGGCGTACATCAGTGTTATATAAAACACACTAGGTCTTACACTTTCATACGCCTTCTCTACGGCAGCTTTTTTGGCTTTTATAGTATTCCCCGTATTAATTATTTTGGGAAATCCTTTGATACGCTAAATAGTGTCATTAGCTGTTAGTTCTATTGCTTTAGCCGCTATAAATTGAGTAAGTACTAAGTGCAATCTACTGAACATCAATAATTCTAAAAATTTTTTTAAACTATTGCGTTAAATTCTTATGTATAATTCAACTTTGTCATATTTCCCATTAGATAAAAAATTTATATTTTTTGATAGAATCTTTGACATAGCAATAAAAATGCTCATTTAACGGACTTAAAACTACCAGGAATATTACTTGACATAATTGATAAAAACTATTTTATAACGATAATTGCCAATATAAATACAGTTTAATATTTCTGACCAAGTATTGATTTACGACCAAAAGCGCTGAATTTTGATTAATAATCTAGTTAACACATTTTCTCAAGTCTTAACAATGAAGTTTCCTAAAGATATTATTGAGATAGACTTTAGAAGTCTCCAAGATATCTACAAGAAGTTTTGAGAAAATGTGTTAACTGGGTATAACTCAAATGAGGTTCTACATATACTCATTAAAATTATCAGGAAGAGTTGAGGCTGTAAAATTGACTTTTATTTATGTCATCCCATACTTTCTTGTTGTGTCCTAACTTCCTTATTCTCCTTTGATTGTTGTTATCTATCTTGCAGTTTCTCAATTACCTTATGAGCTATTATACGCTTCCTTTTTTCTTCAATCAATTAAACTTGTAAATCTATTTTCCAGCGTTTCGTTGGATTCAGTGTCAGAAAAATTTTCTATATCATACTGAAAGATAATAATTATTACGTAATGATATTTACTAAAAACTATTTGTTTAAGGTTATAAGTGAGTAAACAACATTTACAGGTGATGGAGGCTGATTATTGTTATTGAAAGTTGTCGGAGATTTTCCACCATCACTGTGTTCGTGCTTGTTTGAACAGCTTTGAGTAGTGTCAGCATTTACATCTATAGTATTTTGATACTGTTCTGCAATTTTTTTTGCAGCATCCGCTTCACTTCTCTTTTTGGATTTCTTCTTAATTTATTTACAATGTAAACAATTAGCATGAGATACATCATCAAAAATAGTAGTTAAAAATACT